AGTTGATTTATTTAGAAAGTTTGTTAATGATCAAGGAATATATTCGGAAGGAGTTTTTGCAAAAATTATTGTGGTATGTAATCTTATTTCTTTTTATTATGAGAAAATTTTAATGTCAGTAATAAAATTATTTTTCAATTAGGCATATGGAATGCCGATGAAACTGAAATATAATTGTCCTCGAATAGCCAACAAACACCCTGAAGATATCGATTTGTGGAAAATTGCCACAAAAGCATTTCTTGAAGTGGTAAAAATTGGACTAGTCTCGATGGAAAATTTCGGAGAAGGTATTACTTGCAACTTTAGATTAAAGACTCGAAATTGAATTCAAAATTTTAAATAATGAAATTCTCATAGAAATTCCTGAAGAAAGTTTTATTAATGTATGGAAGCAGTTGGTCGATGTGCTGCATGGATCTTTGGTTGCTAACAGGTATTATTATTCAAATTAGTCTTTAGCGATGTTTTTATGTGAGTTTGTTCATACTCTGATGGGTTAAACTTTTGCAGTCAACCTCCATCCTCGTTAAAACTCGAACAACAAGATTCTGACGAAGCGTTTGATATGAAATTCTTATTCAGCCTCGAATCAGATATATTAATACACATGGGTCATCCTCGAGTACCAGTTGAGTTAATTCGGCAACTAGTAGAAATCATAGAAAAAGGTTCGCAATTATATTCTACGGATGAACATCGACAAAGTAATTATCTGAACGGGAACTTGGATAAACCTCTTCCTCCAATAATAAGTGGGTCAGAAGGACAACCATCCCACACAATAATGCCAATTACCAGGGTGGAAGGTACGACAGCAAAAATCATCCCGGTACCAAGGGAGCGATTTGCATATGCGTGTTTAACGTGTTTGTTCAATTTTTGCTCGGATGCCAATACTGGTGAGCGTGCTGAGATCAATTTTATTATCTTTTTTACACTAAAAACAATCTATATTGTCGGTTGATTGAATCATATTATTTTTCAGATCATCCCGAAGCACGACAAAGAATAGCAGAAGTTGCTGCGCCAATATTACTTGAACGATGTGCTTCAGTTATGCGAAATTTTACCGCCGATCAACCATTATTAGGCAAATTTCCACTTTCAAGGTTTGTCTTTCTCTACTGAGGAATTTATCAATATTTGTGGTATTTCATTTCGCAATCTTTCAAATTTTTTATGGTCATTTGTTCATAATCTTAGTATTTCTTCTAGGGTTCGCAACGACGAAATACTCTTGATTTTACAACAACTGATAAAACTACGGTTTCGTAGAAACATTTTGCATGTAGATGACGCGGATTATGAAATGCAGACAAGTAAGTTTGCACTTCTTTCTCACCATCAACTTTGTGCAAACATATCTAAATAAAAATAAAATTCTCAATAATCAAGGTCCTCTTCGCGATCAAGTTCTCTCTGGACCTATTGCTCATCTATTTTTTTTATACCCGGTACTGTGTGATGCGATCTCTAGTGCAAATGAAATTATTTCTGTACTTTTACGAGAGTGCCTGAAAAAGGCGGGAGAGGAGTTGGGAGTTTGTTAAAAAATTAGTAGTTATGTATTTATGTAATATTATCTCATAGAGAAATTGATTTTTTTTAATATATAATTTTTGCATTATTCAAATATTTAACTTTGCTTAATTTCATGCAAATTTAACGTAATTTGATCGGTTTATCAAATAAATGCTCAACATGAATTAATTACTATTACTTGAATCTGTCATAAAGACTATATTCGAAATTCTACCAGTTATTAGATTTTTGTCGTGATCTACTTAGTGGTATGGAATGTATTAAAAGAATTACTATTTTTGCTAGTTATAATATCTAAATTTAATACGCCCCCAAAACAAGTAATATCATGAATTTATAAATAGTCGCATTTGTATTCATTCCATTCTTTATTTATGGTTGCTTCTAGATTAGCAACTTATTTATAATACATGTATCTATAATTTACTGTATAATAATAAATAATACTATAATCATTACTTTTTACAAAATTTAATGTTCGAATTATTGATAATAGGCATCTGCTAGAATAGTAGGGGATATTTATTATAAACAAAGCAAAAAATTGAAGCTATTTACATAAAACAATATTATAATATTTATTAAACTTTATTATGATCCAATTTCTTCATGACAGTCTCAAACTGCTTTTTTGTGTCCTCTATCACGTGCAGCAACTCTTTTTCTCGTTCAGCGAACCGATGTTCCATCTCTGCTATTTGCGAGGCAAGCGTTTCAAAACTTTGAGCGGTTTTCGAGGCTGCTTTTTGGATCTCTGCTGTATCATTTTTGTTGGATGGCGATTGTTGATGACAAGCTGCAGCGATTGCTTGTCGCAAAAGAGCATTTTCTTCGCGAAGATTTTGTACAATTTGAGCGCCCGCCTCGCTTAGATCTTTTAGCGATTTATCATCAATGCTGTCATTTTCTACAAAGTATTTTGTATCAACTGATGCTGCTGCGTCGCCATTCGATAATGAGGAAGGCAATACCTTTGCTAGTATTGCCTTTTGTCGTTTTACCACGTTTTCAAGACCAGCCAGTCGTCCTTTGAGAACGCCAATTTCAGCTTCTTTTTCTATGGTTAATATTTTCAAACTAGCTAAATCTTTATTTGCTAACGAACTTTTTTGACTATCTGTTAAAATGTTCATCGTTTCTTCATGCATCTTTTGTAAAGCTTCAAATTGAATTCGCAGGTTATTATTCTCTGCGGTAAGTGTTTCTATCCGGACTTGAAATTTTTCTATTGTTGAAGCTGCTGCAATTGCTGCTGTCGAAGCCGTAACTTTATCTTTGGATTTTTCAACATTGTGCAATCCATTAATTACTACCGAGGGAGCAGAAGATTGTTGCTTGGCAGCTGCTGCAGCTGCCAACACTCTTCTTGAATTTTTTCTCTCCATCTGTAAAAGTTCATTCAACTCTTGTACTTGTTTATTTAAAGCTTTCATTTGTTTATCGTAACCTACACCCCAAGATAATTTTTCTTTTGATAAAGAAACTAATTTCGTTTCAGCTTCAGTGGCTCGTTGATGAGCAGCATCTAATTGCATTGTCCTTTCAACAATTGTCCTTTCCAGTTGGGCAATAAGCCTCTCAATTACATTAAACTCGCCCCCATCCCCCAGACCAGCCAAAAACTCGCTGGTTATTGGTAACGAAGCGAGGTCGGCTGTCATCGGTACCGAGTTACTGAGATAATCAATCGCGCCATCTTTTGCGGAGGAAGCAGCAACAGCAACAGCTTTTTTAGTTGCTTCAACATATTTTTCTAGTTCTTCTACCTTTGCAAGATAAGCATTCTGATAATATACTAATGATTCTTCTTTTCGTTTTAATTTCTCTACCAATTCCTCGATAATACCTTGTTTCTTTTCTAAGTCTTCAATTACATTAGGCGGTATTACTGGCGTTGTAGTTGATGGCGCTGAAGTTTCTGAATCATCATTATCGGCGTTAGAACCTTCAGCATTGCCTGTACTCTCTGTATTAAATTCTAATAAAATTTCTTCCATTTCCCGTAATTTCTTTTCATATTCTTCTTTACGATCTGCTGCGTCACGTTTAAGAGTACGAATTTCCTCATCTAATCTTTCCTTAACTTCCTTCAGTAATTTAACATCATCTTCCAGTTTTTCCCTTGAAGCGTCCGATTCACTTTTCGATTCTTCAAGTTTCTTTATTTTTTCTTTTAATTCCGTGATTTCTGGATTTTCCTCAAAGTCAACAAATTCCTCTTGACTAATTCCACTTATATATGATAGGACAGAAGGAGTTGGACTAGCTCTACCACTCATTGTACTTGCTCGAGATCTTCCTCCTAAAGAAGACTGAGACGGTGATCTTCTTCTTGTGGCTTTTCTTGTAGGTGAAGCAGGTAATTCCTTCGATGGGTCACCGACAGATTTGCGTCTTTTTCGCGGTGGCAATGACTTATTTCTTCGTAATTCAGAATATATTCGTGCCACCTCTGCATTCCTCCCTGCAGCATCTTCAATTTGCTCCATTGCAGTTATTAGTTTCTTAAATCGCAGTTCACGCCCGTCTTTCGTTGAAAGTTGTTTGTTTATGCCTTCAATTTGAGATTCATAAGTAAATTTCATCATATTCATCTCTTCTGTAAGTCGTTCCATTGCTTCAGTATTTGTTCTATTAGAAGTTTCGTTTTCTTCACGTGCATTATCCAATTGATTTTCCAAATCATCAATTTTTATCATATAATTACTTTCACGATCCTTCAACTCTGCCAACTCTTTCTTCATTTCATCCATTTCCTTTAGTGCGATTTCTTTTTCAATTAAAGTCGCCTCTTTTTCTTTTAGACGATGAATCTCTTGTTTCATTTCATCCATCTGTTGCAACACCGCCTCCGACACATAATCAGTACTATCTTTTTCATTGACCGCCGAATTCAAATGTTTAATATCTTCCATCAAATCGAGTACTTGTGTCGCTTGTAACTCATTTTCTTTCACCACATGTTCCAATTGTGCCTTAGCCTCTTTTAGTTGTACGGTAAGCTTTCCATTCTCTACTTGATATCCACGAATAAGCGCTTCTTGATTTTCTATTTCTTTTTCAATACGTGATAAATCTTCTAATGATAAAATGAGAGGCTCTTGTTGTTGTTCCATCATCACTTGCATATCTGTCTGGTAATCTTGAATCTTTTTTTCAGAAGACCAAAGTTCATTCTTCAAGTACTCGATTTCTTCTTCTTTGGCAGCAAGTGTGTGCATCAACTCTTGATTTCTTTTCATTAATTGGGATCTTTCGGCGAGTGCAACCGTAGAATCTTGATAGTTTTTCGAGAATTTATTTAAAGATTCTTGGAATTGTGCATCAATTTCTTCAAGTTCTCCGGAAATTTCTAGTGTTTTCAAATCGGCTTTTACTGGATTCGCGTTTTGTAGAATTGAATCTTCTGATGATATAGATGTAGATGTAGAATACTTTGTAGAATTTTGCTCTTCTGTAGTTATAGATGATGCATATTTGGTAGAGATTGATGATTGCGAAGAGTTCGAAGAATTGTTGTTATTGTTGTTGGCTGAAATTAATTTGGTACTAGCCCGTCGAATTATGGCTCGTTTTCTTGTATATCTTGACGAGGTAGGTGATCTGGCTACAAATCGAGTTTTTCGTCGAGAAGGTCGCGTCAAATCTGTATCTATTGTCATATTGAGAATATTTTTATCTGAACTATTACTATTACTCTTAATATTTATTGACGTGTGAGAAAATATGCTTTCATCGTCCTCTGCTAGATTCGATTCATCTGCTTCATCAACACCTGTAGTAGTACGACTTCTATCTTCCGATATGCTAAGACTTTCGTCGATATCGGCAGTAACAAAACTAGCTTCATTATCTATAATTAATGGGAAATGTAAGTTTTCGATTTAAATAATGTAGTAGTAATAATATTGATTTCATTCCGTAGGTTTATTACCTGATGATGATGATCCATTATTATTATTATTGTTTTCTTGAGCGGCATGAACAACATCCGTTCTCGTCTGTCCGACCATTGCGCGATTAGAAGAAGACGACGAAAAAACTTGTTTTCTGCTACTTCTATAACTAGGGTTTCTCCCACTACTCCCAATTCCAATGCTATTATCACTACCATTATTACTACTAACACCATTACTACCACTATTATTACTATTTGATAATACAGCCGAATAAGTTTTTCTAATGCTGCTTTGCATTTCTGGGGGTAACATTGAAATTTCAATGTCCCATGTATTTCTATTGCTGTTTGACTCAGTGGTAGACGTTATTGAATCTGGACTATTTTCTTCGTTATAATGACTAGATTCATCATCTTCAGTATCATTATTCTCATTAATATTTCTGCTAACTCCACTCCTAATATTGTTGTAGTTACTGCTGTTATTGTTAGTAATAGCGTTATGCGTGTTTGGTCGACGTTGATTTATAACAGCGGCGTCCCCAAAAATACGCCCTGCTATAATAGATTCGCCTTCCGTCTCTGATTCGTCGTAAATGTATGCATCGTTGTTATTTATGGTGCTTGGCAAAAGAGGATCAGCATGAGACGGTATTCTATTGTAATTGTTGTTTCGAAGCCCTAGGTAATCACTTGTATTATTGCTCATTCTATTTTATTACAGCATTCAAAGCTTGCCTTGCAATGATGAATTGTTACCAATTTTGCCAAATTCCAAATATTTGGCGTTTATCATATGTCCAAATCCAAATTAAGTTCACCCCACTATAACGATAACGGACCCCGTTTGTTAATGACCATAAATGAATCCTGGTTTTTTCTTTTTTTTTCAGCCCGACAGATCAGGTATTATAAATTTATTTGATTAACAATTGCTATTAACTTTCAATTATAAAGTTATAAATAGGGATACTAACGACTTGACGACTTTTGAGATAGTTACTCAAGTCGACTCAAGTCAATAATTTAAGGATTTAATGCAATAGATCGAAATTTTTACATACATATCAATAATAAAAAAATCAGAAATATTCGACAGGGTGAAACCCGAGTTGATCGGCGCTATCATGTGAAATCCGTGATGACAATGTGAAAACCCGCTTTTTATTGGCTAATTGGCTATGTTAGCGATGATCTTGTGAAATCTGTAATATTGTGTGTGCAATATATACTAGCTTATTATTTTACAGCTATTTCTGTTAAAATTCTGTATTATTTAGCAAATATATTTTCTATCAGATATTTTCTAGTAAAAATAGCTATAGCTATAGCTATATTATCTATATCTAATATTTTTATTTCTTTTTTCTTTCAGATTATTTACTTCATTATAATAATTATAAAGAGTTTATAATAATTAGTTTAAAGTAATTTAACTATATTTTAATAAATTTTTCAGATATCAAAGTGATTATTTTCTTTATTATAATATTTGCAAAGTTTAATAAATTTTTTCATTATATTTTATTTTCTAAATCTAATTAAAACTTCTTTTATCTTCTAATTCTTTCTTTTTAAGTTTTTATTTATTATAGTTTTTCTTATATTTGTTAATTATTATCTTTATTAAGATTATATAAATAAATAAAAAATATTATTTATAATCAAAAAAATCTTTCTTTTTTACTAAATAAAATAAGTATATTAAAGAAATCTATCTAAGATAAACTTATCATTTATTATATAAACTTAATTAATCAGATTATAAATAATAAACTTATTTATTTTTATAAAATAATTAATTTCTTATTTTTAAAGTAAAGAAAATTTTTTAAATATATTATTATTTTAAATAATACTTATTTTTAAGAATATTATCTCTTAAATTATAAATTTTAGCAATAAATTTATTTACTTAAATAATTAAGAAAAAGTATTTTTTATAAAAAACTTTTTATAAAAAGAAATAATTCAAATTAATTAGAATAATTCTTAAAAATATAGTAATTTCATAGTTATATTATAATATTTATTATGTCACTTAAAAAAATATACAAATTTGTATTATATAAAATTTATTATATTTTGATTATAAAGTATTTTAAATAATTAAACTTATGAAAATTCTTGATAATTTAATTTTATATATTTTATATTATAATAAATAAAAATTATTATATAATATAAGTATTTATTTATAATAAAATTTTAAAATATTATAATAATTAGATTGGTTAAATTAATATTTATATTTAATAATTAATTTAAAATATTTTAATTAGTTTTATTAATAAACTAATAAATAAATAAATAAATAAATAAATTTTTGAAATTAAAAACTATTTATTTATAAATATATTTAATAAAAAAAATTTTTTTTTTAATTTCTTATAAAATTTTAAATTATAAAATAATTCTAATTATTATTATGATAAAAAGATATATTATATATTATATATTAAAGTTAATTTTAATATAGCATTTTATAATTTATATTCAAAATTTTTTTATTTATCAATCAAATATACTATTAATATATTTTTTTATTACTCTTTTTATTTATAAACTAATTTTTAAATATTTATTATTAATTTAAAGACTTAAAATTTTTTATTATTCTTAATTATTTTATTTTTTTTATTTCTTTTTTCAAGCTAATTCTTAATTAAATTTCTGCAATATTATTTATAAAATCTATAAGATCTCAAATAAATTTATAACAAAATTTCTTTTATTTTTATATTAATTCTAATATTTAAATAATTTGATAGTTATTAATTATTATAGTATTTAATAATTAAAAAAAAGAAATATTAATACCATTTTAAGATTATGTATATGTAATTATTTTAAAATAGTAATAGTAATTGTGTTCATAGCAATTATTTATTTTTTATAGCTTTAAGAGGTTATATAGCTAATTATCTTCTCAATAAGATAATATATACTAGATTTACTTCTGATAAAATATAATTATCTTCTCAATAAAATAATTTATATGTATTTTACTTATAATAAAATATGATTATCTTCTTAATAAGATAATATATATAAGTTTTACTTTTAATCAAAATGCTTTCTTAATAGAGTAAGAAAAAAATAAGATAAGATATATGATAAAATATATATTTTATTAAAGAAAAATACTAATTAACTACTCTTAATTTAGTAGTTAATTCTTTCTACTAAACTTAATTATTCTT